CTTCTTAAAAACTTCCAGTGATGAAGCACACACGACATATAAAGGCAAGCTGTTCCACTGGTTAATTGTTCTCACTGTTAGGAAGTTTCTCCTTAATTTCAGGTTGCTAGATCAGCTATCAGATTTATCAAGGTTTTGTTCCCTGAAATCAGCTTGACATGGGTCAAAAAAATCTGTTTCTTCTAGCTTGCCTAAAGCTAAGAAGTTATTCACTCTCAATCACATTATCCAATTATTCAAGGTTATAGACTGACCTATTATTTTGTATCTCTGATGAATCCAGATTAGGCTTATTAAGAAGAGGTCTAAATATTAGCTTTTATGAGAGCTAAATAAGAACATAATTCTCTCATTACACTTGCTGTAGAATATTCATCAAATTAAATAAAGCAAAGATATTGGAAGCACAGTGAAGGACTAATAAAATTACTCGCATCTTAGCTCTAACAGCTGCAACAATCTAAGAACACTCAGGGTAATGTACATAATGAATCTAATTAAATAAATCCATATATTTTTATTTTTATTCTTGACCTGTGTAATACTGGGTAAAATGAAAACAAGGAAGAAGTTATTCAATTCTTATGAAACTCCTTAGCTGCAATCTTTTCTTGAACAAATTATAGATATTAAATCTACAAGAACAGAAAAACTCCTGCTTCAGATAGATATTCCACAGTAGCTATATATTGAATTCGTTGCCCCAGTGTTGTTAGAGATCAGTAATGATGCATTTTAAAATATTTTCTTGGTGCCAAGCTTAATGCAATTTTTTTTTCATTTATACTTTACAGTACAAAAAATTGGATGAGAATTTGCAGAGTCAGCAGGATATTTACTTCAAAATCACAGTTGCTGACTTTGCAAAGTATCACCCAATTTCCTTGTAAAATATTAATACAAAAATTTTGACAGCGAACCTCGCACAGAGATAACTGATAATATTACCCTGGTGGCACAGTGGTTAGAATGCAGTACTGAAAGCTACTTCTGCTGCCTGCCGCTGCCAGCAGTTCGATTCTCACCGGCACAAGGTTTGCTCAGTCTTCCATCCTTCTGAGGTCGGTAAAATGAGAACCCAGATTGTTGGGGGCCCTTTGCTGACTCTGTAAACTGCTTTGAGAGGGCTGTAAAGCACTGTGAAGCGGTGTATAAGTCTAAGTGAGATTGATATTACTCCATTATGCTTCCAGCACAGCTTTGGTACGTCACCAGAGAAATTGTCTAGAACAGTGGTTCTCAACCTTTTTAATGCCGCGACCCCCAACGTCGTAGGTCGAGGACTAAACCGGTCATAAGTCGAGGACTAAACCGGTCGTAAGTCGAGGACTACCCAACCGGTCATAAGTCGAGGACTTTCCCTGCCCGGGAGCGCCACACATGCGTGGTTCCTCCCCCTGCGCCGGCCAAGGCGTAGCTGGCAAGCGGCAGAGATGGAGCAGGCCGACCACCAGCTGGCCCAGCCCAAGGGAGGTAAGGCACCCGCCGGAAAAGGGAGAAAAAAATGGCGGACAGCCTTGCTTGGCGACCCCCGTGAAATGGTTGATCGACCCCAAATGGGGTCGCGACCCATAGGTTGAGAACTGCTGGTCTAGAATGTATAAGGCAGTGGTGGCAAACCTATGGCACTGGTGCCAGAGGCGGCACTTGGAGCCCTCTCTGTGGGCACACATGCCGTTGCCCCAGCCTTGCCTCCGCCCATGACCCCCTCCTCACCAGCAACCCCCTGGAAGAGAGTCGCCCCCGAGCGTGGCCCACGCAGAGCAGCGCAGCCAAGGACATGGCAACCAGGCAGCGTAGACAAGACTATGCTGGGGAAGAGATGGGGAACTTTTTTTCCTATTTAGTATTCTTCCATCAAGGACTATTCTACTAGTCTCAGGGAAGAAGTAAACATGCCCACATTCTTTACTTTCAAGCAATCTTCATGTAAAACTAAATTTAACTAAATAATCTTAAGCTACCTGTCAAGGTCAATAAACAACATAGCGTGTATTTGTGAATATATCGGAGTTCTTCTGTTCAAATAAGGGGGGGGGGGAATCCCTGAAAAAGTCACGTTGCTTCAGAACTGGTACTAGGTTCTCATTTGTCATGTTAGACATAAAACCAAAATGATTGAGTCATAGTTAGCAATTTAGCCAAAGAAAATGATTTTAGCTTCATGAGATTATTGTTGCTATGGTAACCGTAGAGTAGCCTGTGTTGTTTGCTCCCCTTTGAAGCTGTTGCTAATAGGCGAGTACCATAAACTTAATGGGCAGAGTGAGCTGGGGAGAAAATAATATATTGGCAGAGCTTTCTTTAATCATTCAGAAGATCTCTCCAGAGTTAAGCATTTTAAGGCTGCAGTTCTCTGCGCACTTATATGAGAATAAGTCGCTGAGCATAGGAAAGATTTAATTATGAATTAGCAAACATCTGCTTGTACTTCTTTTGTCTCCTGCTGAAATCTGTGAGGTTTAAATGAGGTTAGTTTCCTGAATCTTGTGACCAGCTTTTTAAAATAATGTGATCTTTGTAGGGAAGAGCCCAAATGAAAAGAGGGGAAAATACCTCTTAGTTTTGTAAAATATCTATGTGACAACTTGGGCACTTAAGAGAACTCATTGACTTAAGAGAAACTTCACTTCATATAAAGTAAACCTTTGCTAAAGCTTTTTTCACCATATCAGTCTCTTGTACTTCCCCCGAATTAGCGCTGTTGTATCAGGATTGTTTTCCTTACCTGTACTAACAATGCTTTGCCCTAATGCCAAGCAATTTCAAATATTTATACTTATCATGAAGAACAGTGCAAGGAGGCAAAAAAAACAACAACCACAAAACAACCCATAATATATTTCCACTGTGAATTTTTTAAAAAAAATCTCCACTAATATACAAGTATTTCAAAATTTATCAAATCATTTTGCATGCTTGTAACATTACATTTAGGGGGGAAAACATTTTGATTTCATATTCCTTTGGAACTATGTTTATTTGAGATAGTAGAGTTCTACTGAATTATCCAGAATCCTATTTTCACAAGGGGCCCATTTGTCTAAAAGAAAAAAAAAATTATAACTACCAATTATCGCCATCAAAGATGCTCCTCTAACATGATAATTTCCAAAGTTTTTTAGGCCAATAATCTCATATATAGTAGTTATTTTTATGAAAAAGGATAGGTAAAATGACTATTCAAGAATGTTTTCCCGTGTTATCTAAAGGTATGATTCAGCCTAAAATGAGCATATTATTGGATAGGATAAATCTAATAAGGTAGACCTTTACAGACAATTCAATCAGGAAGACCACAGCTGATGTAAGATAATGTAATACACAAATGATCCAGAGAAAATAACTGCTGCATCAGACACACACACACACACACACACACACACACACACACACACACACACACACAGACAGACAGACACACACACACAGAGAGAGAGAGAGAGAGAGAGAGAGAGAGAGAGAGAGAGAGCTGCCAATCTCACATATGGAGACTCTGGGTGACTTGCAGCATTAAAAATCTACAACATAAACTCCACTCCCCTCCATTTGAATAAATTGAATAAATTATAGCACGGATTGAAAAAAAAAACTCATGAATGATTTGACAACAAGATAATAAAATGCAAAGAAAAATAGATACATAATTTAACTGGCTCCTAATAAGCCATGATTTGAAATGTAGAGTGGCGATTTGTCTTCTTTTTTTTTTTTTGCCCGGGGCATGGCCAGATCACTGCATCAAAGTATTTTCTTCCTGTCAATGAGACAGCAGAAAAAACAGGCTAGCATAAACCAAACTGCCTTCTTGCTGGTCCTTACTCTGCCTCAGTATTCAGTATCAGTGGATATACTTTTATGGTTTTAATATGGAACAGCTAAAGGAAAGCAATCAGTGAATTCCTGTCTTCGTTCCTCTTCCAATCAAGTGTTGCCTGCCAGCAGGAAAAGCAGCCACAAATGGCTCTCCATAAAGTGTGGTAGGTTTGGGATGGGTGCATAAAACAACTGGTTTATCCACCTGAAAAAAATGTTTGATAAGCAGGTCCTGGGCACAGGGGTCCTAGAAGAAAGTGCCAATCTATGTCAAAAAAGAGCCTGGCTGTAGTGCAAAGGATGGGTGCAAAGTGAACTGGGAGGGAGCAAGGACTCACAAGGGAACTCCATTCTTATTGGGCAGATAATCTGATAGGGTTCCATCAGGGGTAGGCAACCTTGGCTCTTTTATGACTCGTGGACTTCAACTCCCAGAATTCCTGAGCCAGCTGTGCGATGCTGGCTCAGGAATTCTGGGAGTTGATGTCCACGAGTCATAAAAGAGCCAAGATTGCCTACCCCTGAGTTAAACCATGCCATCTTTCTGGGTCATGGAAATGCACCTTCTCTGGAATGAGGATCCTCCTGAAATTCAAACAGCCCCCAACCCTTCTGGTGTTTTGGAGGATTTAGGCCTGTAGTGAGCATAATTGAAGCCTCACTTTCCCCCCCTTTTTCTTTGTTTCTACCTGGGTCTGTTGTCTCTTTGTTCTTTTCTATTTTATGCTATTTCTTGTTTTCATTTTTTTTTTACAATTTGTAAGATGTTGAAAGATGCTGAGAGTCAGGTTGCATACACATTAATTAAATAGGAATGTATGGAATGAGATGCACCAAGTACAGTTAATATTAAACTGATCTATGTGTTATATTAACTGCTACTTTATCTAAAAATTAGGACATTTATGGAATATATTTTTTATTGAAATTATAACTCATGCTGCAATCCTATATTCCTACTAGGAAACATCATTACTCCTAGGGTGAGTAATGAGCAACACTTAATTCTGGGTAAATATCTACAGAATTAAACATGATCCTATTTTGAGAAAGATAGCAAGGTATATAATTATGTCTGAATTAAACTTTAGTGCTGTTTGCTGAATAAAATGAAAGAATTAACTGGATCATTACACATGCCCTTCTTAATTTTCATAGTTTGATTTTTGTTTCTGTTCATCCAGGAAACGTGGTGGTCTTGTGGTCGACGTGCAGGACATCAGTTTTTAAGTCAGTAACAAATCGATTTATTAAGAACCTGGCCTGTTCTGGGATCTGTGCCAGCCTTGTCTGTGTGCCTTTTGACATTGTTCTCAGTACCAGTCCACACTGCTGTGGATGGATCTACACCGTGATCTTCTGTAAAGTCATAAAATTCTTGCATAAGGTCTTCTGCTCAGTGACCATCCTGAGTTTTCCCGTCATTGCTCTGGATCGGTAAGATACTATGATTACTCACAGGTTATCTTTGAAGTATAACATGGACAAATCTGTTAATAACCTTTCCTCTGATGTATTTTTCTGTTTTTTGTTTGTCTTATTTCCCTGTCAACTTAATATTTTTTTTAAAAAAAAATAAAAAATAAAAAGATTGCATATACAATTTTTAAATCCTTGCTAATTTAACCTGACTGGCTCTTTTCTAATATTCCTGATCCACTAAAAAGTTAATTTTCTTTGTGTATCTATCACCCACAGAAGAAAGGAAGGTAATCACACTTTTTTAAAGTACTTACCAAAACATATTATGAATTCTAAGTCTCAATCTTACTGTCTTGGAATCTGTAATAATATTGAAGGACATGACAGAAGTTCTGTATTGATTTTTGACTAGCTAATTAATACTGGTGTTATCTATTCATTAGCTCCCATTACTAGCAAAGCTGATGCTGGATAGGTTGTCTTCTAATCATTTATTGAATAAGTCACAGCTAGCTAAGCTAAGGTTAAATCATACTCTATCGGTTATAAACCACAATGGTCTTATGCTAAGACCAAAGTAAGAAACTGTATTATGTCTTAATGTAACCTGTGAACTGAGCTATTGAGTACCATAGTGGAATTTTCATGTCACATGCTATGTTTAGGTATTTTAGCAAATCTACTCTTTTTGTAATGTGGCAATCTTTCACATGCATTAATGAATTATGCAGTTTGGCTGGAACTGCTACATGCTAAGAAACATGGTTAATTCAGTTCTATTCACAAACCAGTTTGGAGCAAAGAGATTATGAGATAATATAGAAAAATAGGAGTTTCAGGGTAAATTCTAATCCCATTTTTGATACAAATTAATTAATATAAGTTGCATTTGTCATTATTTTATATAGGGTTAAATTAGTGGCTAAAAAAGTGTATACAGGTACTCCTTGACTTACAACCTTTAATTTAGTGGCCACTCAAAGTTATAACAGCACTGAGAAAAATGACTGTTGCAGCATCCCCATGGTCACATGATCAAAATTTGGATGCTTAGCAATTGGTTTGTATTTATGACAGTTGTAGTGTTCTGAGGTCATGTGATCAACTTTTGCCAAGGGGGAAGTCAGATTCATTTAATAACTGTGTTACTAACTTAACAATTGCAATAATTGACTCAATAACTGTGACAAGAAAAGCTGTAAAATGGGGCAAAACTCACTTAACAAATGTCTCGCTTAGCAACATAAATTTTGGACTCAATTGTGATTGTAAGTCGAGGACTATCTATACTAGATCTAACATTGAAACATCTTAAATCCTAGCATCTCTTATAATAGTCCAAGTTTAATCTACATAATAGGATAAGGAATAGTATTCTGTATATTTAACTATTGGGAGATGGAGTCTAATTTGATAGAATAAGAAGGAATGGCATCTCTGTATCCCTTATAGATATTTCTGCTCTCTCCTCTGTTTTTTGGATAGGTACTATTCAGTCTTATACCCACTGCAAAGAAAGATATCGGATGCCAAATCACGAGATCTGGTGATCTATATTTGGGCTCATGCGGTGGTGGCCAGCATTCCAGTCTTTGCTGTGACCCATGTGTCAGACATATATGCTATATCTACTTGTACCGGGCCCTGGAGTTACTCTGTTGGCCATTTAGCATATGTTATCACTTACAACCTTACCACTGTGGTTTTACCAGTGACTGTGGTATTTCTCTTTATGATCCTCATCCGCAAGGCATTGAGCGCTAGCCAGAAGAAAAAAGTCATTATAGCTGCCTTAAGAACCCCTCAAAATACAATCTCTATTCCTTATGCCTCCCAGAGAGAATCTGAACTTCATGCCATGCTGCTCTCTATGGTTATGATTTTTATTTTCTGCAGTATTCCCTATATGACTATGGTGGTTTATCATGCTGTCCTGGATTCTTCTGATACCTCTGTATACTTGCTTCTTACTGCTATCTGGTTGCCTAAAATATCGCTGCTGGCCAACCCACTCCTCTTCCTGACCGTTAACAAATCTGTACGGAAATGTTTAATAGGGACGATACTGCAATTACACCGAAGGTATAGTCGGAGGAACATAGTCAGTTCCGGGGAGGCCAATCTGGAATCTCACGTTCGTTCTGGCAGCCAACTCCTAGAAATGTTTCACATTGGGCAGCAGCAAATTTTCAAGCCCACAGAGCATAAAAATGAAGCTCAATCTGTGGACCTCAATGATTACCAACAGGAGGAGATGCCCACAACCAGCTTAGATATAGGACAAGCCCAAATTCAGAGGTCTGTTTGTCCCGCAGTTGCAGAATCTGCTGCACAAATAGCACCAGCTTTCTCTACAGAAGCCGAATCGGCCAAAGAAAAGTATTCTACACAACTGGGCTTTGGACCTTTTGAGTTGCCACCACAGTGGCTACCTGAAAACCGGAATGGTAAGAAACGACTTCTGCCTCCTTTAGGAAATACACCAGAAGAGCTGATCCAGACAAAGCAACCCAAGGATAAATCAGAACGAAAAGTGAGCAGAAACAATAAAGTCAGCATCTTCCCCAAAACGGATTCCTAGTCAAAGGAGGAGTTCCATATGATGAGAGAAGACTGCCTTTTTGCATATATATGATCCTATGGATCTGTGCTAAATTGAAATTAAAGGCTTATTTTTGTGCCAGCTTATGTAAAAACTAAAACATAAAGTGTTCCTTATACACGGGTTTTGTTATGAACACGTATTTCCTTATTTCACAATACCCATTTCCCCCATTATATAAAGGACAAATGAACTATTTTCCAAAGAGGTATGTTTAGTTTATTCTTGCCCTACAGACTGCTCCCTCTACTGTGATCTATAACAGGGCTTTTCAACTGGTGGTACACATACCACCTGTGGTACATTAGCACATGGCAGGTAGTATGTGGCCCTGCCCAGCCAAGTGTAGTGGGGGAGGGAACGAGCCAGCGCAGGGCAGAACTTACTGTGAGAGAATCCTCCGGAGCTACAGAGTGGCTGGGGCGAGGCAAAGGCCCCAGGCTCACTTCTGGCTCACCCGGATGAGAAAGGAGGAGGAGGGGGCGGAGACAGGAGAGGCTATAAAAGGAGGCAGTTTGGGCAGGAGAGGAAGAGAGAGAAAAAGAGGTAGCCTTGGGAGGAGGCGGAGTCAGTTGTAGCTGCACCGAAGGGAAAGAAGGAGGAGGAGGGTGGTGAGAGGAGAGGAGATCAAGCAGGCTGGCCATTAGCCGATCTACAACTTCTGTGGCAGCCATCCATGCTGGCAGCAACAATCAGGCAAGAAATGCAATGGGGGAGGGGTCGCCCTCCATGACGAATGAAGAAAGGCAGCAATGAAGAAAGACAGCATCGGCTGGTGGTGAGGCACGGAGGGAGGGAGATGGAGAGTGGAAGGATTCTTATGTGCTTTTGTGACTTTAAGGTTCTGGGATTTGTGCAATGTGGGCTTTTTGTTCTTAAGGAGTGTTTGGCAATTTCTATTTGGTTGATGGCTGATGTCTTGTGTTAGCTTCTATTGCTCTGCTAGTGTTAGCTGTAAGTTTTGCTGCAAGGGATTTTGAAGTATTTTTTTCCTGAATGGATTTTGCCTGTAGCATTCCTTTACTTATGAATGGAGCCATTTGGGGAGGTTGCCTTAGCCGGCAGCCAGTACTTAACTACATTTTTTTTTCTTCCTTAAGTGCCGGCTGCCGGCTCCTTAACTTTCCTTTCTAGCCAGTAGCTAATTCTTAAAGAGAAATGCGCCTTTTTAAGCTAGTTCCCTCAGCGGCTTGTCTTTTCTGTCTCTGGAGGCTTTTCCTTGTTTGATGAATATATGGAAGAGGGAAAATATGGGGGGGGGGTCAAATTCTTCCTTCAGAAGGAGATGGGAATGAGAAAGAGGGAGGCAGGGAAGGAGGGAGGGAAGGAAGTCCCGCCTTAGCACTTGGCCACCAGCAGCCCTGCCATTGACTTTGCTTGTAAAAAGGTTGCAGAAGGAGATCACATGATCCTGGGACACTGTGACCATCATAAATATGAATCAGTTGCCAAGCATCCAAATATAAATCACATGACCCTGGGCATGCTGCAATGGTCATAAGTGTGAAAAATGGTCATAATTCATTTCAGTGCAATTGCAACTTTGAATAGTTTTTTTTTTGGTCATCAAGTTTTTGACACCTTCCTAGGTGGTACTCGAATATTGCCATATCCTAAAAGTGGTACAATCGGTGATAAGGTTGAAAAGCCCTGATCTGTAAGACTTAAACACAGCAAGTCTGTATAGTTAGGGTTAACAAATCTGGTCTGCAAAGATTAGGATGAACCCTAGAGGACAGCAAGGCAGCACAGAAAATCTAGAACCTTTGCTGACATTTAGTGGTGATTTGGAGTTTTGCTGTACTTCATGCATGTATGTGCACATGCATACGCAGAGATGTGGCATTTCAGATATAGAATTCCAGGGAAAGGAATTCAGTGAATATTTAGGAATGTCCATTCCTTGGGACTCCATGCTTTTATTCTCACATAAAAATCGACTAGAATCTTTTAGGAGCATTGTATGACTTGGCGATTTGAGATGTCTTTTAGCAATTAAAAAGACCTTGAACATTCCAATTATATTTTATAAACTACTAAGCATTTTGTCCATTTATGTATGGCAGATTCTTGCTGTTGCAGTAAGCATGTGCTAAATCCATGCCTATGGTTTTAGATTTCCTTTAAGGACTGGTTTTTAGTAGTCTGAGTCCTGCAAGCTTTTCATCAGTGAAGCTGCAAGAACCTGACTGAGGAGAACAAATACATTTGATGATGCCACTATCTAAAATGGACACAGCAAATGTTGAATACAGATAGTTCTTGAATTATGATCATTCACTTAGCAACCATTCAGAATTACAATGGTGCTGAAAAAGCGCCTTATGATTGGTCCTCACACTTATGATTCTTGCAGCATCCCTGTGGTCACCTGATTGCGATTTGAGTGCACTTGGTAACCAGCAGGTATTTATGATGGTGGCAGCATCCGAAGATCACATTATTGCCAGCTGGCTTCTAAGAAGCAAAGTCAATGGAGAAGCCGGCAAGAGGTTGAAAGTCACAGACATGTGATATGCTCCACTTAACAACAAATGTTCTGGTCCCAGTTGTGGTCCTAAATCAAGGACTATCTATATAGATACAAGATTATTACATTTAATAATTACCATTATGACATTTAATAATTACTCAAATCAATCTCTCTCTCCTTCACTCTCTCTCTTGTATTCAATCTTTTCTCAGATTCTCTTGATAACGTATTCACCTCTATGGTGAAAAGGCATCTTTTCAAGATGGTTGTTGCTGTTTTGTCTGATATGGAGACAAAAACTGAAGTAGGAGCCACTGTGTTACTGTTAGCCTTAATTCTGCACTCTACACACTTGCACATTCCAAGTGTATAATCTTATACACCACACCTCTTCAGTATGATACTAAAAATCTGATAACATACAGCCTTTTTTCTCATTCCTACCTTGTTTTTTAATTACATTTTAATTAAATAGTACTATCTAATCATTTTGCCTTTGATTCTTCATCCTTTTATTTGCTGAGGGTGACTTCAGAACAACAGAATAACAGAGTTGGAAGAAAGCTTGTAAGTCTTCTAGTCCAACCCCCTGCTCAGGCAGGAAACCCTATACCATTTCTGACAAATGGTTGTCCAATTTCTTCTTAAAAACTGCCAGTGTTGGAGCACCCACAATTTCTGAAGGCAAGTCGTTCCATGATTAATTGTTCTAACTGCCAGGAAATTTACTTCAGTTTATTTGGTTTGCTGCAAGAAAAGAAAGACTTTAGATTTGTTGATTGTTGTGCGATTCCAAGGGATATCTTAGTACTGATTTGTAATACAGTAACTGAAGAGATGCAAAATACATCTGACCTAGGTTCTTTTTAATCAAATTGACAAGCTGATTATGCAAACTGAATATGGAAATACAGATGAAAATATTAATAAAATAATAACAGTTTTATAATATTTAAGACAATATCAATCATTAAAAAAGCTTGGAAGAGGTATGCATTAATCTAAACAGAACCTATAATTGAAAAAAATCTCTTCAAGAACTGATCACAGCTAATTCATTGTGATACTGTTTGGAACCAAGTTGCGTAAATTCCATGATAAAGACAGAACATTACAGGAGGGTTAGGAGAACTGAACCTGAGATACTGGAACTTCAATTCCTATACACTAAAACCAATTACTAGGAATTTTGTGAGTTATTTCAACAATTAAAGAAGGACTATTTTCTCCCCTTTTGGTATATGCATATAAAAGTGTAGCATGTTGTGAATAATTCCCATCTTGGTAATCTCTGAGGAAGACGGGAGGGGGGGCTAGAAATAGGAAATATAAACAAACGAGCAATTAAATATTTGAAAATCCTTCCTGACTATCTAATGCAGTGGGCAACTCTTCAGTATTACACACTGTAGAAGTCAAAAGTCTATTGCAATAACAATCATCTTAAGTGTATTCAGATACTTCACTCTCATCTGTTTCTCCCTCTTCTTTATCTTGACTGTGGCTTATTATTTATTCCATTGTAAACCAATCTGGAAGATCCTTTGTCTTCTCCATTTATTAGTTTGCAAGCAATCTCCTTCCTCGTCTCCATCCCTCTGTTGAAAAAATGATTACTGCAATTTGTTCCCAAAGTCCTAAACTGATTTTATAAACTTACACACTCCTGCTTTCAAATACTATAGATAGCGTGTGCTTCTGAACCACTGAATATCATAGGATTCTGGATTTTAACTATTAGTAAAATATTTTTACGTTTAACGTATCATTTCCTGAAATAACTGCTATGTTTGTAACAAGCATATTTAAATAGCACCATATTTAATATTAGGGGGGAAAACAGCGTTAAGTAGAGCTTATAAGACAAAGGTGTACTTCCTTAATTATTTCTGAAATATGAAAGGGGTCTACAGTTTCTAAGAAATCTAAGAATTATTTCTATATGTTACCAACAGTAAACTTTGCAATAAATTTTATAAATAATAAAGTAAATAAATAATTTACTACCACTGGACCAAGTTTTTCTGTGTCTTTGTGTCGCAACGTTTCATGATAAAAATGGTTTTTTGTTGATTTTGCTTTTAATTAAATCCTTAGTTCCTGAAAACATTTAGTTGTTGCTAAATGGCATGACAACTATCTGGATACATAGCTAGTTCAAAAACTACTCTGCTCATCTGTGGTTCCTCAGCAAATTGGAGAATGGTATCAAGTGTGATGCTGCAGAGTTTGATCCTGAGTACTATTCAAGATTTGTATGAGTGACACTCGTGACCAGGTAAAAGATTGCTTGCCAAATTTGTATATGTAACAAAGATGCTTTGGATGGGACACATAGTAGTATAGAACTTGGGTGGGCATCTTAGAATACCAGGACTGCATCAGGTTCCCTATTGTGTGGTTTCCTGCCATTGGAAAACATATTAGCAATATTGGGGAGGGGGGTTGTGCTTTCAAAAAGTGTTGATTTCTGTCAATTATCTGGACTAGTCCTTAAAGTTTTCTT